TAATTGACTATAAAAATTTAACTGAATAAAGTTCATAGATCATATAATAATATGAATCAAAAATCTCAATTTTGGTTGATAAAATCCTGTAAAGTAATTTTAATAGCTTAGCTCCCATATAATATAAATAAAAGAAGTGAAGTAATGAAGAATGATGAATAAATTTTTCTTTATTATTTAATAAATTTATTTTTATATAAATAATTTTTTATTTTAAAGATTATTATAAATATTTTATAGAAGAAAATTTAAAAAAATTTATTTTTTATATAAATAATTTTTTTTTTTTACAAATTATTTTTATTATAAAAAACTTATATAATATTATATTATATTTCAGGCTAACTAAAATATTTAGACAGGTGAAACCTTTAAAACTTGACAAAATTAGTTTCATCACAAGCTATAAAATTAAAATCTCTAATATATTTCTAAAATTTTGAAATATCTTAAACTTTTGAAACTTCTATTAATATATATAACCCCTAAAATTTTAAGCTGCCAAAACCTAAAAAAGAAATATTTGTAAATGAATATGCTAATATATATAACTAATAGTTTTAGTTTAGATATATAGTTTGTTAAACATCTTATCATGTCAGATGAAGATTTTTATTCTTAGAATATTATTATTTTATCAGATAACATACAACTACAAAAAAAAAAAAAAAGTTAGGTGGTAAATTAAAATTAATTGTATAAGAAACATATATGAAACAAGGTAAAAAAGTATCTGAAGGTCATTATGAAAGCTACCTATCTATATTGTAATATATTTTGGCATAAAAGTTCACCTCAAGTTTTAAAGACATATCTTACTAATAATTATTTAAAAGTTCCACTAGAGATAAAGCAGTTATTTTTAAACTGAGTTGTTGAAAAAGCTGAAAATTCACAAAGTAAGAGACGAAAACTTGATAATAATGGAACTGAGTAATCAAAAATAACAGATTTTTATGAAAGTTTAAAGTTTTCTCTAGCAAAAAGTCATGAAATTGATTGAGCATGTATAAAATCTTTATTATATATGATATACTATGGCATGCTATTAAAAATTCATTTTTTGTTAAACGTTTAAAGACATTACGTCTAGGATATATACTATTATTTAAAGAAAAACTATCTGATAAATTTTTTGTTGAAAAAGTAGCCATTATAAATAGTCAGATTATTAAAGAATTAAAAAATTCTTCAAATTTAACATTATGTAAGTAATAGGATTATTTTGTTTTATTATTTAATATAAACTCACTATTTTTTTATTCTTTTTAAATATAAAGCATGTGACAAATAAATTAATTTAGCAAATGAATCCATTTAAAATTTTCTTATTTATATGCCTACTTATAAAGAATATTTATAGTGTTTAAAAAACGTGTCAAATGAATCTTATACCAGCCTTTTCTTAGCGAATGAAATAGAATAAGTAATTAAAAAATAGGACCTGAAAAATTTTTAGCAATAGTAACAGATGCAAGAGCAAACATACAAAATTCCTATAAAATAATTACTGAAAAATATCAAATATTCTTAATATTCATTGTATTGCTTATGCAATTAACTTAATTTTTAAAGATATATGTAATACTACTTTTGTAAATTAGATTTTAACTTGATGTAACAAAATTGTGATTTTATTTAAAAAAGCTCATCAGGATAGTAAGATTTTTATAGTTTTTCTTATATTTTATTATAACAAGTACTTTACAAAATATTTATTCAATCGAATAGGTTCAACTTTAAAAAAAGAAGTGGAAATTTATTAAATAAATAGAGGAAGTTTAAAATGATAGATCAATACTTGATGATATACTATATTAGATTGTGTTGATTATGTTAAGCATTATAAAGAAGTATTAGAAAAAGTAAATATTAAAATTATTATTATTTATATTATATCTTATTAGTTTATATTATTATTAAATTATAAAATTATTTTCTTACTAGTTACGATTTGATTATAAAAATCTTTTTCCAATATCAGTTTTATTAATTTTATGATCTTATACTTTTTTGATGATGTTTATGCATTATCATTTGCTTTACATCTTATCAAAAAAGCAATTTTACAATTAGAATCATAAACATGTATACTTAGAGATTATTTTATTAGATTAGCTCAACTTGAGGCTACCATTAACAAATTATTTTAAAATGATTATTATGATTTTTGTTGCTAATGTATTGCAATATTTAATAAATATTATATTAAATTTGATGATCTTATTTACTTATTGTACTTTTTTTTGCATTCAGTTTATAAAGGTAAATTTTTATTTTTTATTAAAATTAATTAATATTAAATAAATATACATTAAATTAAAAATATTTTAATTTTATCTTTAGATATTTGCTAGATACAAGGAATTTTTCAAGAATTCTTATTAACTGCTTATGAAATTTTTAAAAAAATAAGAAAGTTAGAGAGTAATTGATGTGAATTAATATACTAAATAAAATTATTTTGCAAATGTGAAGTCTCATTTGACATTGAATTAGGCAAAAATGAGTTACTAATTCACTAGTGGATTTCTATAAAAGATAATTTTCTAAAGGAAAAGATTATTTAGTACAGCTAGTAATTAAACTATTATCAGTGATACCTCATGCAGCTGAATGTGAGCGGATTTGGTCAAATATTAACTAGATATATAGAAAAAAAGAAATCGATTGAGATTAGATAAGATCAAAAATATTTGCAAATTATCATCTTATTATTATACACATGCAAAATAAGAACTACTATATTATAATATAAAAAAAACAAGACAAGTAATCAAATTTGTGAAATTTTGGTTAATATGCATTTATATTCAGATGAAGATCTTATTGATATTATGGAGGAAGATATTGAAGATATTGATGATAAAGAAATGGATACATATGGTAAGAAAGATGATTTAATAATTAACAGAGTTTTGAATTTGAATGCAAAAGCATTTATTAATGATTTAGATGAAATTATTGAAGATAGTAGATTAGAAAAGAATTTAGTAGAAAAATAAAATATTATTCAAAATGTAGTTGAAACAAGAAAATGAAGTCAATATAGAGTGGAATCCAATTGTCAAAGCTAATAATATAGTTAATTTTGTATAATTTTTTAAAGTTTTATTGATATACTAATAAATAATTCGTTAAATTGTCTTTAGGCAATTTTTATCAATTATTTTTATTGTATTATTATATTTTTATTTTAAATTTATAATTGCACATTTAGTTTTGATATCAATAATTTTTTACTATGTTATAATAAAGCTGATCTATAAGTTTATGTCATCTAAAACTAAAGAATATGTGATATTAGAGATAATGAAAGTTTCAGAATTATGAAATTTAAGCAAGTTTTAGGAGTTTCAGAACTTACAGAAATTTAAGCAAGTTTTAAAATTTTGGGCAAGTTTCAAAGCTTATAGATGTTTAAAAGAATTAATCAAAAAAAGCAAAATATTTTACCAATCAAAATTAGTTTCTTCTGAAATATTAATATTAAATAAAATTATATTAATTTTTTATTTTATTATAAATATTAACTTTTATTTAATAATTTATCTATTATATATTTAATATAATTTAAAATTTAATTTAAATTTAAAATTAAGTTAATTTGATTTAATTTGAATTTTTATTTAAAAAATTTTTTTAGATTATAAAAAAATATATTGGTTATTTATAAAATTTTATATTTTAAAATTTTAGCTATTATATTAGATTTTATTAAATAATACTATTAGATTTATTAAATTAAAAAATTTAATAAGCTATAAATAATTATTTTATAATATTAAATGCTAAAATATTTATAATTAATTAATTTTACTAAAATTAAATATAATAAATATAAATTAATCTGATATCTAATTTAATCTTAATCTATTTAAAATATTATTATATTATTAGTTAAAAAGTTCAAATTTACTAAAATTAGATAATTGAATTTAGATTTATTTTTAGCAAAATTATTTGATTTTTTATTAGAATTAATTGATATTGATTAACTTAACTTAAATCAAAGAAAATAATTTAGTATTAATTTAAATTATATATAATTAATTAAAATAAGCCTTAATTTGACCAAAGTTTTATTATAACTAAAAATGAAAACTGTTATATATCTAAAGTATTTACATTATTTAATATCAAAAAATAATTTAATATAATACTAAATTTTTATATATACTAATTTTATAAAGTAATACTGATTTTTATTATTATCACCAGATTATGCAATATTGATTATTATACTTATTTCTAATTTAATTAGATATTTTATATAGTAATATATAGACATTGTATAGTCTTAAGTGTACTTTAAATTCTTTTGCTACACTTTAAAAAAAAATTAGTTAAACTTTAATTAATAATACTAATTACATTTATATATTTTTTATTTAATTCAAACGAAAATTTTTATTTTAAATCAATAAATATAAATAAATAAATTTTTATTTTTATTATTTATTTTTGTTTTTTTTATTTTTTTATTTACTGATTTTATTATATATATAACATGATAAATAAAAATATTCACGTAATTAAAAATTTTACATTTTTTAAAAATATAATATCTTACGTTTCACTCTAGATAAAAAGTTAGCAAAAATTAATAAAAATAATTAATAATAAAAAAGAAACCATTTTTCTAAAAATCCTTTAAAATTATTATCATCATCATTTCATCATTATTTTAATTTATATCTACTATTAATTATCATTATTTATCATATTTATTTATCATTTATTTTGAGATTATTATCTTTATCACTATTAGCTATGAATATTATCACTTTTCACTTTTCATTTTTTTTCTTTATTATTTATAATATACTCATCTTTAACACTTGTTTTTGCTATATCAATTTTTATGTTATATATTATATCTGATTAGTCTTTATAATATTATTTGATTATTTAAGACTAAGCTATCAATGTTACACTAATTTTTGTAATACTTGAAATCAAGTTCGTAACACTTGAGACCCTACAGGATATTATTACACGAAAAATAATTTTAAAATTTAAAACAATATTCTTATTACAAAAATTTATTAAAAATTATGAAAATTCTTTTTTTTTAGCAACTTGTAAATATTATATTGATTGATCAAGTAAACCTGTAGATCATATTAAAATAATTATTTAAAATTTTAGGATATTTGTTATTAATTAGCTATTAAATTTTTATAGGATATTCTCCAAAATTTAATGATTAAAATCATGTTTCTAGTATTCGTAGTTAATGAGTTTTAAGCTTTTAAAGCTAAAAAATGGGTATGCGCTTCTTTTGATTGCCATTGTAAATACCTTGTTTAATATTTAATAAATTTATGGATAAAGTCCTAGAACTCAAAGCTCTATTTATAAAAGCTGCTTTTTGGATGTATAATTTTCTAGCTTCATATTTAATACATTACCTTATTTGAAATTATAAATACGTGTTATATAACTATATACTTGACATAATTGGACAACAATATCGTTATATTTAAGTATCAATGTGAAACTCCTTTTATAATTAAATAGCAAACATTTCGAATTATAAAAAGGAATAAACGGATTTGGATCAAAAGAATTGATAATGTTAATTCCATTTTGTTCTAGTTGGTGTTTGAAAAATTCAGTATATTTATCGTTATAGATATTTAATTTCAAAATAACATTTCTACTCGAAATAAAATAATTATACCATCATAGGTAATACCCGAATATCTATTTTTAGGGAATCAAAATATGCATTTCCGAGAGTTTTAACGATAAATATCTTGATATAATTAAATCATTTTCATTTTAATGTAAAATTATTTAGACACTTGGATTATTAATGTATATAAATTGTGAAACTATTTGTGAGTAGGCGTACATATCGATTATTTATAAGAAATAAATATTTGTTGTTTAAAATAGGAATCTGCGAAAATCTTCCAGATGGCTATGTAGGTAAAAAAAAATTTCTGCATTACATAATATATATACATTCCTTTCATTTACATCCATTATATATAGCAAATTATTGATTAAATAAATGGATATTTATAGCTTTTCATTGTGTTAATCACCTGAATGTAAGAATAATTATTTTCGCCACAACACCTTTTTGATGATCGTCAACTGGAATACATATTTTTGAATTCGCCCAATCATTAGGTGTGAATTTTTGAATTAGTGCCATAAATCTAGTTAGTTCAATTTTTTTTTTTTTTAAGGGAGGATCTATTTTGACCAATAATTGGGCTAAAATAAATTGTTTGCATTTTTTAATCTGTTTCAGTATTAATGCGTCAACATATTGTTAAGCTAATTTAGAAGTACAATTAAACCGTGGATTTGTAAAATGACTAATCTAGATCGAAAGTATAAATATAATAAATAAACGTTTGTCTTTTTTCTTATTTATTTATTTTATTTTTTATTTTTTTATTTTTTTTAAAAAAATAAGGATTAAACAAATAATGTATTATGATGAAATATTTTCTCGACGTCGAAAGACGGAACCCATAATTGTTTTTTGTATAAGAGCATTTAGTTTGACATTCCTAGCGGTTTTCCTCTTAGTATATACTGCGTTCTTGATTAAATACTTGTTTAATGATCATCCTGTCATGGAGCATAGTACCCAAATCAATGATAAAATACCAATCCCTGGTAAGTAAAAGTATATGCGAAAGGCAAACCACCAATGTAATCAACTTTATTAATTAGATTCTGTTTTAAGAGATGATTTTTAATATGCACACCCCATTCAAGTTGAGTTGTCAATTTTATCGTAAGTATTAAGCAAAACAACAAATAAAAAAAAAGAAAAATTTTTTAAACATGATTTAAAATACATTTCTATTTGTAGTGGGGATTGACATAGCACTAGATAATATAAGACCGGATAATAGTTGTAATAACTATTTAACCCAACCAAAGAATATTGATGATGATGATGATTATTATGGTTACTTCACACATGAAAATATATTAAATTATGAGGATCCAAACAAAAATCCGGATGCCATATCATACGTAGAAGTATCGTTAGACGTAGATGCGACTATTTCTATTTCTAAGCCCGAATCGCCACTGATAATAATTGTTGATGCTGGTAAATTAATTAATTATGATTATTTACTTATTTTATTTTTTATTTTATATTAAAAAAAAAATTTTACTATTATCTAGAAAAAAATCCCCTAAAACTCCCAAATGGTGAACTTAATATCACAGCTATTGATCATTTGCCTAACGATATTAGAGAAATTGTCACAAATAATATGTTTCATGTGCCTAAAGGACAGGTAAGATTGATA